CGCCTGTCCCAGCTCTCAGTGTCAGATGTGACCACCAGCTCTCTGCGACTAAACTGGGAAGCCCCCGTTGGGGCCTTTGACTCTTTCCTACTGTGCTTTGGGGTCCCCTTACCAAGTACCCTGGAGCCGCATCCTCGCCCTCTGCTCCAGAGAGAGCTTATGGTGCCAGGGGCGCGGCGCTCGGCCGTGCTCCGAGACCTGCGTCCCGGGACCCTGTACAGCCTTACTCTGTATGGGCTGCGTGGGCCTCACAAGGCAGACAGCATCCAGGGCACTGCTCGCACTCTGAGCCCAGGTGAGGGCTCCTACCAGCTAGCACAGGGGCACCAAAGAGGGGTTTTTTGCTTTGCAGGGTGGGATGCAGCATGTAACACGTGTGGTGAGCAGGGGAGGGGTTAAAGACACCTAAAGAGTGACACCTGTCCTGGGGAACCTACCATAGAGGGGTAACAGGCCTCTCTGGAGCCAGAGCACCCAAGGAGATACGGCAGGAGCCTGCCTATCCGTGCCTTACCCACTGTACCCATCCGTTATGACCTCAGTTCTGGAGAGCCCTCGGGACCTGCAATTCAGTGACATCGGGGAAACATCGGCCAAAGTCAGCTGGGTGCCACCATCTTCCAGGGTGGACAGCTTCAAAATCTCCTACCAGCTAGCAGACGGAGGTGAAGATCCCTTCCCCCTGCACTCCCCCCCGCCCCCGTGTCCTCCTTAGCTCTCCTCTCTTGCCCACCGCCACCCCAGCACACTGCCTGCTCTCTAGCTGTTCTCAGACTTCATCCATGTTGGCAGGAGAACCACAAAGTATGCAGGTGGATGGCCGCACCCAGACCCAGATCCTCCAGGGGCTGACTCCAGACACTCGCTATGAAGTGACCGTGGTCTCCGTCCGTGGCTTTGAGGAGAGCGAGCCTCTCACAGGATTCCTCACCACAGGTAAGAAAGGCTGCCCCCAGCACCAGGAGAGGTAGAGAAAGAGAAAGCGAGAACGCGGAAAGGGGGTAATGCGGGCAAAGGAGACCCCGGGGCTCCAACCTCCAATGAGGGAGGAGCCAGCGGGGTAGGAATGCCTCTGAGCTCCCTGTTCTTGCCCAGTGCCTGATGGTCCCACCCAGCTACGGGCATTGAACTTGACTGACGGATCTGCCCTTCTACACTGGAAACCCCCCCACAACCCGGTGGACGAATACAACGTCCAGGTCGCATCCCCTGGGGGTGAGCACGATGGAGCCTCCTCTAAAGAGGACTTGTTTGAGGCGGGGAGCGGGGAACCGGGTACAGCATGGATGGATAGGTGCTGATGCGCCTCCCACTCCAGCCCCGCCCCTTCAGGCCTCCGCACCTGGCAGCGCTGTGGACTACCCACTGATGGACCTGACACTTGACACTAACTACACAGCCACCGTGCGTGGTCTCCGGGGTCCTAACTTCACCTCCCCAGCCAGCATTACCTTCACCACAGGTATAGCCAGGGCTGTGTGGGGGTCACAGGAGATTGAAGGGAACAGATACGGACCTCATTTCTGTCTCCTTCCATCCTTTCCCCTTCCAGGGTTAAAGCCCCCCCAGGACTTGGAGGCCAAGGAAGTGACTCCTCGCACGGCCCTGCTCACTTGGACTGCGCCTGAAGTTGCGCCCACAGGCTACCTGCTCAGCTTTGACACGCCTGGAGGACAGATTCAGGTACCCCGCTTCACCGGCTTTCCGCAGCTAGGTTTGGAGGTGCCACCTCTGGCTCTCCCCGAGAGTCTCCATCTCGCCCTCTACTGACCTGTCCCTTGTCTGTCCCCAGGAAATCCTGCTTCCAGCAGGAACCACCTCGCACAGACTTCTCCGCCTCTTCCCCTCCACCTTCTACAGCGCCCAGCTCCGGGCTATTTGGGGCGAGAGCCTCTCACCGCCTGTGTCCACTTCCTTTACTACTGGTACTGGCTTTAGGGTGTGAGCTTCAGGGGACAGCTGGGGTCTGAGATTTGAGAAAGAGGACAGACAGACTCTCCACCTCCTCTCCACAGGTGGGCTGCGGATCCGCTTCCCCCTGGACTGCGGGGAGGAGCTGAAGAATGGGGCCAGCACATCAAAGACCACCACCATCTTCCTCAATGGCAACCGCGAGCGGCCTTTGGATGTGTTTTGTGACATGGATACTGAAGGAGGCGGTTGGTTGGTGGGTTCTATTCAGAGCCCAGCTCCCTGTGTACAACCGTGTAGCTCAGCGGCTGATGCCCAGGAGCCGGAGGCTGACACTGGCCCTGTCTGCTTTCCAGGTGTTCCAGCGCCGCATGGATGGACAGACGGACTTCTGGAGAGACTGGGAGGAGTATGCCCATGGTTTTGGGAACATCTCCAGGGAATTCTGGCTGGGTCCGTGCCTCATAGGGCTGGGGAACTGGGGAAGGGATGGCATGGCAGTCCAGTGGATCCCAGTACCCTGATGAAGCATGCTCCACCCCAGGCAACGAGGCTCTGCACAGCCTGACACAGGCTGGAGACTACTCTATGCGTGTGGACCTGCGAGCCGGAAAGGAAGCCGTGTTCGCCCAGTATGACTTCTTCCGGGTAGACTCGGCAAAGGAGAACTATCGCCTACACCTGGAGGGCTACCACGGGACCGCAGGTAAGTGTGGGCCCGAACGGGGTGGGGGCGGGCATGAGGGTGACCCTCACCACACCTTCTCATGCCCTGCCAGGTGACTCTATGAGCTACCACAGTGGCAGTGTCTTTTCTGCCCGTGATCGAGACCCCAACAATTTGCTCATCTCCTGCGCTGTCTCCTATCGTGGGGCTTGGTGGTACAAGAACTGTCACTACGCCAACCTCAACGGGCTGTACGGGAGCACAGTGGATCACCAGGTGGGGACTGTGGAGGCCACGGGGCTCCAGGTTGGGATCTGGGTGACCTGGGCTGGAGTACTCTCGCATGAATGGTTGAATGTCTTAGGCCTCAGAGGCTCATCTGTGAAATGAGTCGATTACGGCAACCTTGCTAAGGAATCTTGAAGAAATCGTTTAATAGTTTATTAGAAGGCATCAGCTCAGGGATTACGGGGGAGATGGCTGAACCCTGGGAGTCACCTACAGGAGCAGGGTTGGGATGGATAAGGCGGCATCGATGTGGTGTTGTCTTGACTCTCCTCCCTTGACAACCCTTTCCTCAGGGAGTGATCTGGTACCACTGGAAGGGCTTCGAGTTCTCGGTGCCCTTCACGGAAATTAAGCTGAGACCCAGAAACTTCCGGGCCCCCACCAGGGGCACCTGAGCCTGCTGTCCACCTCACTCACACCCTGGTATGACTGCTGAGCACTGAGGGGTTGTGACCAGAGAAGAGCCAGTGTGCCTGTACTGTGCCTAGCTCTCCGAGGAAGCCTTCTCTGCCGCAATCTCACAGCACCATGTTTACAGGGGGGAGGGGAGGGGAATAGAGCAATAAAGGAGAAACTGAGGCACAAGGCTCATCCTAGCCTGTCAAGGATTTCTCACCCTGGTCTTGGGGCGCCAGGTTCCTGGGCTGCAGCCGCACCTGGAAGGGAGGAATTAAGAGATTGATGCCAGCATAAGGCTGGGGCTCCAGGGAGGGCAGGGTGCCATCTGCTGGCGGCAGCAGCGTGAAGGCCTGGAGCAGGCGAGCCAGCACCACGAAGAGCTCCAGCCGCGCCAGGGGCTCTCCCAGGCATACGCGTGCCCCACAGCCAAAGGATGGTGTTCTGGGATTCCTGCCAGGTTCCAGGAAGCGATCTGTGGGTAGCAGACAGAGAGTTAGAGAAGTTTGTCCCAGCAGAGGCTGGACCTTTTCCACTCCCTTTCCTATCTGCCTCATACCAGGCCAGAACTTGCTGGGCAGTTCCCAAACCGTCTCATCCAGGTTGGCGCCTTGGATGTTGGGGATGACAATCATATCCTTGGGAATGTCATAGCCAGAGATGCTGAGGGAAGGATGGAGTCAGGAGCGCCCAGCGAGGCCTCCCTCCCTCAACCCTTACCTCCGGTGAACCACCTGCTAGTCTTAGTTGCACGATGGGGTAAGGCCAAGGGTACCACGGGCCGCAAACGCAGCACCTCAGCAATGGTGGCCATGAGCAGAGGCAGCTGCATTCGGTTCTTGTACAGGAGCTGGGAGCTGGGTCCCAGATTCAGGTCTAATTCTTCCTGCAGTCGCTTCTGGATCTGAGAGGAAAGGGCAAGGTTGGACTCTAGGGACCAGACTTTGCTCAAGTGGCTCACAGCTGCCCAGTCTGCGGCCCCTCCCTCCAGCCTTCTAGCTGAGCCTAGAACCCCCTCTGAGTGCATCGCCCAGGTCAAGCAGTCAAGAGCAGAGAAACTGGACCAAGGTGTCTTCCCACAGTGCACCTCAGGGTGGTGAAGAAGAAAAGCCACCGCCCAGGAGAGCGTGGTAGCCGTGGTCTCGGTGCCACCGACGAAGAGGTCCACCACCAACATGTGCACATGCCCCTCATGGAGTTGCTCTGTGTCTTTGCCGTCTCTTTGTTTCTCCAATCCCTGGAGCATGTAGTCAATCATGTCTTTCCATTGGCCACCTGCTACC